TGGAATAGGGTGCTTTTCCATTGGTACCAATCGTACCATTGGTACCAATGGACCATTGGAATTGCCCTGTACCCAACCAGGTCACATGGGAAAATAATCTAAGTCCCCTTAATGAGATGCATATTCACCAATAGAACCATTGGAATAGGGTGCTTTTCCATTGGTACCAATCGTACCATTGGTACCAATGGACCATTGGAATTGCCCTATACCCAACCAGGTCACATGGGAAAATAATCTAAGTCCCCTTAATTAGATGCATATGCACCAACAGAACCATTGGAATAGGGTGCTTTTCTATTGGTACCAATCGTACCATTGGTACCAATGGACCATCAGTTTGACGAATCGTATCCGTTTGTGTATATTGGACATGTGTGTTTTTTTTATAATAATAAACAATGATATATATACCGCTACATGATGTTCCATTTCCAGTGTATCCAGGGCTGCATGTGCAGTTATAAGATCCCTCAGAGTTGCTACAGAAAGCATTGGCATCACAGTTATGAACGTTAGTAGTACACTCGTTAATATCTAAAAGGAGGGGGAAAAAGGCTACTGTCACGTTACTAGAAACAGATGGGTGGCAAAAATTGACAAGAAACCATGATGTATGGGGAATTAAGTAGTAGGATATGTCTAACATTTTCTTTTTTGAGACACCAAATAGGATGCAGTAAAAGGAACGACTGATGTCTAATAGACATAAACTTTAGCTTGTATGTTTTGTTTTCTCAATTCAGACCACGTACTATTCTCCATGGAATTTACCATTTGTCTTTTCATAAATTATACATATGCAGGTGCACGCACATTCATAGGACGACATTTGAAAGAAACAGTTCTCTGGGGTACAATTTAACGTGGTCTGAAATGGAAAAAACAAAACACACCAGCTAAAAAGGTCTATTGCAATATGCTTACTTTTGTATGCCATGACTATTAACATACTGATAATAATAATAAAAAAATATAATAATAATAATAATAATAATAATAATAATAATAATAATAAGCACTCTCAGATGAAAAAGAATAATAACCCTATCCAAGAGTCGATCGACGACTTACTTCTCCCAACACTATTCGGTCAAACGGAGCCCATCCCTAGTGGTCTGCGTCAGTTCGTTACTTTGACACCCGCTCAAGGAGGGCTAGGTGTACCCGACTAACAGTTTGAAGTTCCACAACAGTTCGCCGCTTCTACGACAGTAACAGCATTGCACGTAGATTCAATTACCACAAAGAGCATGTTTATGGTTGCAGGCGAGAATTCCACGGAGGAGTTAAAAAGAACGTCAAACCTTGAAAACTGCATCGGTGAAATCGAGAATGGGAAGTATTGATTCAACTCTACCCTCGGATCTGCTGCGGTCAGTTAACCAATCGAGAGACAAGGGTGCGAGCTCATGGCTTACTGCAGTGCTTCTTGTTGATCATGGCTTTGTGCTGAATAAACAAGAATTCAAAGGCTCTCTGCGTTTAAAGTATAATATGCCCCTGTCTGGCTTACCAAGCAAGTGTGTTTGTGGTGGGAAGTATGCCGTCTGCCATGCCCTGTCACGCAAAAAGGGAGGGTTCGTGGCGCAGAGGCACGATGGTGCTCACAGCCTACTTGCCTCACTTGTTGGTAAGGTTTGCACCAACGTTGAAGTCGAACCACAACTACAACCTCTCGATAATGAGCGATTCAACTTCAGAAGTACGGTAACAAGCCCGGAGGCAAGACTGGACTTGAAGGCAGGGGGCTTTTGGTCTCGAGGAGAATAAGCACTCTCAAATGAATGAGAAGATCCGGAAAGAGTACAACCGCAGGTTCCGGATGGTACTCTAACTCAAGTCTGAGCTGCACTCCGTAAACAAACTGGAAGCCGTCAACACCTCAGCAGTACCAGTGGTAACTTACAGTTTTAACATCATAAACTGGACGTTATAAGAGCTGGAAAAACTTGATACAAAGACTAGGAAGTTCCAAACTATGTACAAGATGCACCACCCCAAATCTGACGTGGACAGGCTGTACCTGCCCAGAACCGAAGGAGGTAGAGGGCTCGTACAACTCAGGCTTTCCTACAAGACGACCACTATTGGTCTTGATAAATTCCTCCAGGAGACGCATGACACCCCCTCCACTTTGTCAAAGACCACGACGACAGGAAATCCTCGTACTCCATCAGCAGACAGTCGATGAAGTTCAGTCGGGAACTGGGAGTGTCTGCAATACCACCTGCAGAGAATGAGGCGAACACCACCTATGCCCGCAGAACAGTACAGGCCAAGGCAAAACACCAGGGTCGCCACCAGCTCAGGTCCAAGTGGGAATCAAAAGCGCTCCACGGCAAATACCCACTACGGGTGAGACAGGCTGACGTGGACCAAGACAAGACCCACAGATGGCTAAAAGCAGCTGGCTTAAAGGCAGAAACCGAGGGCTTTATCATCGCAGTTCAAGATCAAAGCCTCCAAATGAACCCAAAATGCAGACTTTGTGGCCGTTTCGACGATACCATTGACCATCTGGTCTCCGGCTGTCCTGAACTGGCTAAAACTGTACACATCCACCACACAAGGCAGCTGTACACATGCACTGGAAGATCTGCAAAGAGTTTGGTGTTGAGGTGAAGGAACGATGGTATGAGCATGAACCCAAGGCTATCACCGAGAAGGACAACGTCATCATTATGTCGAACATGCCCATCCACACTGACAGGACCATCGCAGCTAATAGCCTGGTCATTGCGCTGAAGAGCAAGAAGGACAAAAGCCGCCTTCTCGTAGACATGACTATACCCCTCAACACCAACACTTCAGTCAAAGCCACGGAAAAGCTTAACAAATACACAGACTTGGAAATCAAGGTTGAGTGAGTGTGGGGGCTCAAAACAACAACAGTCCCGGTGGTTATGGGAGGCCTTTGTACCATCAAGAAGGACATGGAAAACTACATTAACAAAATCCCTGGCAACATCAACATTCATATTATTGGGACGCTCGAGATCATTAAGAAGGGACTGGAAAAGTACGTTGACAGAATTCAAGGAACAACTAGCATCAGCGAGCTCCAAAAAAATGACTATTCTGCGAACAGCCCACATCCTCAGAAACGTTCTGTCAATCAAGTAAACTCTTTGTTACCTGAGTGCCATGGTTTGGACTCGGTGCTTCAGAGATTAAGCAAGCAAGTCAAGATTACAATAACTATTTAATAATAATAATAATAATAATAATAATAATAATAATAATAATAATAATAATAATAATAATAAAAACAAATCAGAATGTAGTTATGGCTGTTATGTTTGCTGTCTTCTAACAATAAAAGTGCTCATTATAGGCGATGCAAGAACGTGCAAAAAGGTAACACAAATACAAACATGGCCAAAGAAAGAAAAAATGCGAATAATAAAACTAAAGAAATAAAATACAAAGTATTAGTATTCCAAATCTTTTGAGCCCAAACGGCTACAGAGGGGACCAAATGAAATGCCAGAAAAGCAAATAATAACAAACATTAGCTAACGCTGAACTAGTGAGCACAATTCGAACTCTTATTAGCTTGGTCACATGACTGAAAGGGAGTGAAACTAGTGACTAACGCGCAAGGAAGCGCGTGTTGCGAAGGCCTGGGCTCGCCAACAGCTACAAAATGCGTTTTTTTGTGCTTTATTTACCTGTACACGATATGCCATTGCCGCTAAATCCTGGATTACAATTGCAGTTGTACGATCCACTTGTATTGTTACAGTAAGCATTGAAGTTGCAGCTGTGGGCGTCGGTTGTACACTCATTGACATCTACTTGACGAAAAAGAAAACTAAGCCTGATTCAAAATACATTGAACGGTCAAAATAAAGACAATGTTTTGCTGACTCAAGTACATCAAAAAGGAACTAACTGCTTAAATCATTTTGAGACAATCAATTTAAAAGGCCTTTTCAGCTTGCCACTCAAGTGGTACAAAACTGCCACGCTGGAGAGCAAACGTCGCACGGGGGCAAAACAAACAAAAGGCTGACACCTTGCTCTCCAATGTGGCGGAGGTGTACCACTAGGAACGACCAGCTAAAAAGGCCTATTACCAGGACAAGTTTGTCCATTTTCAAAGAATCCCGAGTTACATAAGCAGTTATAAAATCCATTGGTATTGTTATAAAGAGCATTGATATGCCAACCTTTCATCAACGTTTCAAGGTGGTGGTGATAGGGAAAGGGGGCCCTTCATACCCATTACTGCCACGAAAAGAGTAAATTGAAAAGCCTGCGATTAACTCTCGAGGAACACGGGATGCCATTTCAAAATGACCGCCATCTTCTTGGTTTTTACTAAAAATCCAAATTTATCAACAGTATCGTAGAAACTTAAAGTATATTTAGAACTGGAAAGGAGTCTTAATTAGTAATGATTTGGAGAAACATAAACATGTAAAAACTAGCGAAATAAAGCTCCGACGTTTCGGTGGCATTTTTCCATTATCAAGGAATGGAAATAAATGCGAGCTCCAAAAGGAGTTAAAGAATTTGAATGAATGAATACAATACTTGAATCCATTCCTTGATAATGGTGTCTTGACATTTCCGAAACGTTGAAACACTATTTCTTTTGTTTTTTTGTTTTTTTTCTACACCTTTGTGTAAAAAGAATCTTAAAACTATTATGGACATAACCACGAAAAAAAAAATGTAATAACACTCAATGAGTAAGAATTTGACAATTACCAAGACAGGCTTGTCCATTTCCAAAGTACCCAGGACTGCAGCTGCAGTTGTATGATCCCATGTTATTGTTGCAAATCGCATTCGCACCACATAAATAGATGTTTGTTTCACACTCATCAATATCTGGCACAAATAAATACGTTTTAGTTAAATCATTGTTTCGATAACAACATATGCATTTAATATAATCATTAAATTAAGCACTTATAATAATAATAATAATAATAATAATAATAATAATAATAATAATATTTAATACTTATATTGCGCTTTTTCTATAAAAATACTCAAAAGCGCATTACAATATTATTAATAACTAAATTAAAAACCAGTAAAATTACCCGGTAAAATTACAATATTTAAAAATAAATAAATAAATAATCTAACTAAAAGCCTTCTTAAATAAATATGTTTTAACAGAGCGTTTAAAAGAGTCGATTGATGTTTCCTGTCTTATTGGCAGAGGAAGACTGTTCCATAAAAAGGGGGCAGCCATCGATAACGCGCGATCTCCCAAAGTCTTCGTTCTTAGCCGAGGCCTTTCTAACAATATACCATTATATACGGCGTAGTTGGTAACGTGAGTCCGGTAAGACAGAGACAAGATCCTTAAGATAGCTAGGCGCAACACCGTGAAGAATCTTAAATGTAACAAGGAGAATCTTAAAATCTACGTGCAAGCGCACTGGTAGCCAGTGGAGTTCTCTCAGCAAAGGAGTAACGTGACAATACTTAGGTGCACAGTAAACCAATCGAGCACTGGCATTCATGACTCTTTGAAGTTTCTTAATTTGATACTCAGGAGCACCGTACAATAAACCATTACAGTAGTCAAGCCTGCTTGTGATGAACGCGTGAACAAGCCTCTCGGTGAACTCACGAGACAAATACTTCCTAATGTGCCGGATATTGTACAAATAATAAAACGCGCTAGCGCAGTATAATCATACTAATAATAAATGTAATAATAATGATAATAATGGTAATAATAATAATGATAATAATTATAATAAATTAAATAGAATCAATAGGACAGTTACGGATTATCATTATTATTCATTGTTGGCTCCAAGGTTGAGAGGAGTAAATTCAGAGCCACAACAAACACTCTCGGACTTAGAAGGATCGGACGCTAGTCCTTATCAGGCTTTAAATATATAGTATTTCAACTAGGATAGGAGGGGGTTGGAAATTATATTAATTGAAACCTGTCGTAATGTTAAACTAGAGCAAGGTTGAATGTTATTTTTTTTTTGCCTCACCAGTTTTTTTTATTTTTGCTCGATTGAATGAATTACTATTAACCCCTATTAGTTTGAGCAGGCAGGCAGGCTGGCTTATAAAGGATAACTTAGGCTAAAGCAATAGTCCTGCTTTTGCAGAATTTTTGCGGGATTTCATTCCTTACTACATTTGATTCGATATTCACCAGCACATGTTTTTCCATTTCCGGTATATCCAGGTCTGCAAGTACAACTGTGTGATCCGATGGCATTTTCACACTCTGCGTGGATGGCGCATGAATGAGTGTTACTTGTACACTCGTTAACGTCTAAACAGTAACAGAATAAAAGTACACTGACGTTAGGTAGTTGCTTTTTAATTTACAACTTGAATACTTGAGTTAGACTGTATACAGTAAAATTCCGAAAATAAGCCCCGGGGCTCATATTTTTCAAAGGCCCCTTTTGAGGGGCTTATCTACGGAGGAAAAACTTGCGTTTCAAAATTGACTGGGCTAGCCTTATAGCTGGAAGTAAATTTACCGTTTTTGCTTTGTTTTACTTTGTATTTGAGGGAAATTTTCCAAGTACAAGCCCCCGGGGGGCTTATATTTGGAGGGGCGATTTAACGGAGGGTTTTTTGTGTTACCGGTTTTGGGGGCTTATACTTGGAGGGGCTTATACATGGAGGGGCTTATTTTCGGAATTTTACGGTAGTTAGGTAAAAAGCTCAATTGTCTAAAAGATCATTAAAATACACACATTCATGAGGAAATAAAGAAAGCCGAAAGTGATCGACTGATAAACCGTCTGAAAGACGAATATGCAGACAGGCGGGCATGGTCGGACAGATGGAAAAACAGGCTGTCACACACACAATAAAATATAAGTCAACTTATAATGATTACCAGTGCATATTTTTCCATTTCCAGCGTATCCGGGATTGCAGATGCAGATGCTAGACTCCTCCATAGTCTTACAAACAGCATTTCTGTTACACACCTGAGTGTTTGTTGCACAGTCTTCAACATTTAACTCTGAAATAATAATAATAATAATAATAATAATAATAATAATAATAATAATAATAATAATAATAATAATAATAATAATAAGGAATTCAGAATTTAATAATAATAATAATAATAATAATAATAATAATAATAATAATAATAATAATACAATAGAGGTCACGTCCCTACAGAGGGTAGAGATGGTCACAATTATAAAAGCAATTAGTTACAATTTCGAAGTTGGTTAACAAGATTCTTCACTTCTTTAAAGAAAAGATTTCTATTCTGAAATGTATCACACAATCAGTTGCTCACAGCTTATCATGATAAGCCATAAGGCTCGTTATACTCCTCCAAACCCATTTCCCCGCGTAAGTTACCCCAAATTATAAACGACCGTTCTTCTCTTTTTGACGTTTTTCTCTTTAAAGCAAAGTAAAGTACTGGAAAAGTTGAAAATTTACAGGCACATGCACGTTGCGCGTAGCACGTTGTTTTAAATATTGAAAAGTTAACTTCGTGTTTAAGCCGTAAACGTTTCCAACAGGTCCAAAAAATGGGTCGAAAAGTAATAATAATAATGATAATAATAATAATAATAATAATA